TATCCCTCACGATCAAGTTGGCTTCAATCCTGGGATGCAAGGCTGGTTCAACGTAATGCAAATCAATAAATGTAATCCATCACATAAACAGAACCTATGACAAAAACCACATGATTATCTCAATGGGTGCAGAAAAGGCCTTCGATAAAATTCCCTTCATGTTAAAAACTCTCAATAATCTATGTATTGATGGAACATATCTAAAAATAATAAAAGCTATTTATGACAAACCCATAACCAATATCATACTGAATGGGCAAAAGCTGGAAGCATTCCCTTTGAAAACTGGCACAAGATAAGGATGCCCTCTCTCACCACTCCTATTCAACACAATATTCTGGCCAAGGCAATCAGGCAAGAGAAAGAAATAAAGAGTATTCAAATAGGAAGAGAGAAAGTCAAATTGTAAATTGTCTCTGTTTGCAGAAGACATGATTCCATATTTAGAAAATCCCATCGTCTCAGCCCCAAAACTTAAGCTAATAAGCAACTTCAGCAGTCTCAGGATACAAAATCAATGTGCAAAAATCACAAGCATTCCTTTACACCAACAATGGACGAACAGAGAGTCAAATCATGAATGAACTCCCATTCACAATGGCTACAAAGACAATAGCATACCTAGGAATACAGCTTATAAGGGACGTGAAGGACATCTTCAAGGAGAACTGCAAACCACTGCTCAAGGAAATAAGAGACGACACAAACAAATGGAAAAACTTTCCATCCTCATGGATAGGAAGAATCAATATCGTAAAAATGGCCATACTGCTAAAGTAATTTATAGATTCAATGCTATTCCCATCAAACTACCATTGACATTCTTCACAAAATTAGAAAAAACTACTTTAAATTTCATATGGAACCAAAAAAGACCTGTATAGCCAACACAATCCTAACCAAAAAGAACAAAGCTGGAGGCATCACACTACCTGACTTCAAACTATACTACAAGGTTACAGTAATCAAAACAGCATGGTATGGGTAAAAAACAGACATACAAACCAATGGAACAGAACAGAGACCTCAGAAACACCACACACCTACAACCATCTTATCTTTGACAAACCAGACAAAAACAAGCAATGGGGAAAGGATTCCCTATTTAATAAATGGTGCTGGGAAAACTGGCTAGCCATATGCAGAAAACTGAAACTGGACACCTTCCTTACACCTTATACAAAAATTAACTCAAGATGGATTAAAGACCTAAATGTAAAACCCAAAACCATAAAAACCCTAGAAGAAAACCTAAGCAATACCATTCAGGACATAGGCATGGGCAAAGACTTCATGACAAAAACACCAAAAGCAATTGCAACAAAAGCCAAAATTGACAAATGGGATCTAATTAAACTAAAGAGTTTCTGTACAGCAAAGAAACTAGCATCAGAGTGAATAGGCAACCTACAGAATGGGAGAAAAATTTTGCAATCTACCCATCTGACAAAGGTCTAATATCTGAATCTACAAGGAACTTAAATTTACAAAAACAAAACAAAAAACCATCAAAAAGTAATCCCAGCACTTTGGGAGGCTGAGGCAGGAGGATCACCTAAGGTCAGGAGTTTGAGAACAGCCTGGCCAACATGACAAAATCCTGTCTCTACTAAAAATAAAAAAATTATCTGGGTGTGGTGGCACGTGCCCATAATCCCAGCTACTTAGGAGGCTGAGGCAGGAGAATCGCCTGAACCCGGGAGGTGGAGGCTGCAGTGAGCTGAGATTGCACCATGGCACTCCAGCCTGGGCAACAAGAGCGAAACTCCATCTCAGGAAAAAAAAAAAAAAAAAAAAAAGTGGGCAAAGGATATGAACAGACACTTCTCAAAAGAAGACATTTACGTGGCCAACAAACATGAAAAAAAGCTCATCATCACTGATCCTTAGAGAAATGCAAATCAAAACCACAAGGAGATACCATCTCATGCTAGTCAGAATGGTGATTATTAAAAAGTCAAGGAACAACAGATGCTGGCGAGGCTGTGAAGTAGGAATGCTTTTTCACTGTTGGTGGGAGTGTAAATTAGTTCAACCATTGTGCAGGATAGTGTGGTGATTCCTTAGAGATCTAGAACCAAAAAGAGCATTTGACCAAACAATCCCATTACTTGGTATATACCCATTGGAATATAATCATTCTATTATAAAGACACATGCACACGTATGTTTATTGCAGCACTATTTATGATAGCAAAGACATGGAATCAAACTGTGCCCATCAATGAAAATGAATAAAGAAAATGTGGTACATACACACCATGGAATATTAAGCAGCCATAAAAGAGAATGAGATCATGTCCTTTGCGGGGACATGGATGAAGCTGGAAGCCATCAACCTCAGCAAACTAACGCAGGAACAAAAAACCAAACACATGTTCTCACTCAAAAGTGGGAGCTGAACAATGAGAACACATGGACACACGGAGGGGAACACACACTGGGGCCTGTTGGGGGGTGGGGTCAAGGGGAGGGAGAGCATTAGGACAAATACCTAATGCATGTGGGGCTTAAAATCTAGATGAAGAGTTGATAGGTGCAGTAAACCACCATGGCACATGCATACCTGTGTAACAAACCTGCACGTTCTGCACATGTATCCCAGAACTTAAAGTAAAATATTAAAAAAAAAAAGTTCTGGGGTAAAATTCACATTTTCCTTCTCTGTATTTTCTTTTAAGCTCAGGTGACTGGACAATGTCTTTGTTTGCAGGACAGGATGGCCTCTGAGCCTATCTTGACATAACTTAGTGTATGAGAGACTAACATTTGGCCTGGTTTTCTGTGGTCTTTTTCTAAAAGTTCAAGCTGGAAGACAAACTGTTCCATTAGAAGCTCATGTTTCATCTGCATAATAAATATATCAGATTAGAAGACAGCATCATAGTAGTAAGTTCCGAACACATTTATGAAACCTTTTCATTACTTTTTAATTTCCAAAGTTTCATTTAAGCTCTCAGATTTGACAAAAACGTTTTACTAAACATATCTTAAAATTTTTTTATTTTATGTGGATAACCTTCAAGACCTAAAGAAATACCATAGTGTGAAAATATGAGGATGTTAGCTACACAGAAGGAAACATGTACTTAACTTTTTTATTCTCTAGAAAAGAAAACATTTAGGTCTTGGGCTAGTTTCCTACTGAGAATCATAAATTCAAAGGTACATTAATATATCATTACCCTTTAAAAACAATTTATTCCCAGGTTTGATGATAAAATAGTTGCAAAATACCACAAGAAACCTGTTTTAGAAATTAAAACTTGGAAGCTAAAAAGTTTAACATTTTTTTCCCAGTGAATTGAGAGAAAAAGGCATCCAACAAATTAACTTCAGCTGGGCTTTCCATTTTGATTACATTTGTAAACCCAAAACAGAAGCACAGCCTCAGTAAATGCACCTTCTGTGTACTCCTAATCTATACAAAACATGGGGTCCGGCTCAGAGTTGGGGGGTCTGCCCATGGGGCAGTCTTGTGATCCAAAGTCCCGGTGCCACGTGAGGGTCCTCCAGGAATCAATGGATTTTCTCCTTAGCTTTGCTTTTCTTTAGGCAAGTAAAGCCAGGACTCCTCTAATGAGTGGAAAACATCTTTTATGAGTTCCTAGTTCAGCAAGACAGGAGCTATTAGACATCCAGGGATGTTTTTATCCATCATTTGTGCTGTTTGGCAACATTGCCTCAGTGCTGAGAAACTGGGTCAGTAAAAGTTATTACGAGTGATAGTAGCCTTAATTAATGATCATAGTTGTGTTCTAGCAGTTAAAAGGAATAAAGTCAGAAACTAAGTTGTCTGTCTGTGTTTTAGAGAACTGGCATTTTATAACTCAAATTCAGTGGAATTCCATTAACTTATTTTGGGAAGGGGTGTCTCTGAACTTGAGCCTACTCATAGTACCAGAAGCAACAAATTTTGAGAGATGATGTCAGATTTAATAACGCAGAACAAGCATATTATTTCACCACCTTTGAACCATCAGTGACAGATTTACTAGAGTCCACCACTGTATATTTTTTAAGCTGAATCACATGTATTTTTGTCTGTGCACAAATGTCTAGGTATAAGATCAAGTGTTTAAAACCCCAGAGTTGGTGGATTAAACGGGAAACACACGTGTACTTGGAGCATGAGATTTCAAACCCAGGTCATGGCTCACAAACTTCTGTCACAAGTGTACCTTGGGAGGCAATGAATGTAGATGGAGAAGAGGGGTAACATCTTTGCCTTCTGTTATTTTCCCACTTACTTTAATAGAAATGTGCCTAAAGGCAAGCGACTGGAAAATAGTGGCCAAAGGACATTAGAGAAACCAAACTGGCCTCTAGGTGGTGCTTGGAAGCAGCGTAGGGAAGGCTGGCACCCTTCAGGGTGAAAAAGGTATTAGCTGAAGTCCAGTAACCTGCAGGCTCCAGGGTAACGTCTGCATCCCACTGTGACCTGCTCTGCAGTCTCCACAGGTGATGACTGGGCCAGTTGAAATACATTTCTCTTTTCACCTCTTCCTGTATCTGTGAAATTGTTATTATGATTATAGCTCATGTCGATAAATCATTGCCGTTTAACGTCAACAAACACTTACTCAAAGGGCTTTTGTCAAGCAGGTCATTCTGCCACAAAGCTGTACTTAGGCACACCTGCCTGCTTCTCTCTCAGTTTCCTATTTGCCCAGCACTGTCTCGTCCAGATGGAGCAGGCCGGACCTGCAAGACCTACGATTCTGTTTGCTTGCATGGGGGATGTTTCCCAAGGGAATGTTTTCTTTTTTTTTTGGCAAAGTTTTTAAAAGGTATTATAGCTGCTACATTTGAGATCAAATATGAGTCTGTGACTCCTGTTAACAACATTTGCCATCAATAAGAACAAAGACACCTCCCCGTGTAAATCATAATAAAATGTGGGTAGATGTGTAAATCCACACAAATCTATTGCTATTCGCATGCTGACTGAGAAGGGAATCTTCAGCATAAAAATGTAAGAATCTGTAACTCCAGGCAGATTTTAACATATACTTTTTTTTTATTAAATATGTAAAAAGATCAATGCAAGTCAAGTTATTCACATATTCAGAGACAAAAAACTATTCTACCATGCGACAATAGGTGGGTAATGTAAAATGAATGTGATACATCTGAATAAGACTTTTTCATCTATTATGTCATTACTTATCTATATTTATAATTAACAATACATATGTTTACATTCCTTTCAGTTTACATTTAATATATAACAAAAGCTTTATGGTGTACTATTTAGTAAAAGTAATCTGAATGCATATTAAACCTTAACGGAATAATGGAAATACTCACCAGGGAAGGGAAGAGTTCTTGGTTCCCTTCTGGAATTTACTTCTCTCAGGTCAACAGGTGTTTTTCTTTTTTTTTTTTTTTTCCTGCTTTTCTGCTTAGAACAAACATGGACTTTCTCTTTGCCCCCTGCTTCGATCACTTCCTATCTGACAGCAGCAGTGGAAGTGCTATAACCAGCCGACAGTGGGCATGAGAGGGGACTAAGGATGAAACTGGGCTTCCTGAGAGGGAGAAGTGGAGCACGCACCCAGGGACACTTCCTGCCCAGCCTGATGACATGTGACCAGGGGCCGCCAAGGAAAGCATGCCCTGAACGCCGAGATGAGAGAATGATGGGGTCCCACCATCCATGGGAAATGAGTGGGGGTCTGCGCAGAGGCTGGAGGTGCAGCCTAAGAAGACCGACTCAAATTCAGCTGTTAAAGATTCCCCAAAGCATCTGAGACATCATCTGGGATGCAGCACGGCAGAAGACGTTTAAGATGGGGCCAGAAAGAAGACTGTATAGCTCTTCTGTAAATAAACGAATGGTCTGCCCCAAGCCTTGGGAAGGAGAATGGACTATAGTGACTGGGGAAAGTTCTCTTTGCAGGCTAAGAGATCTGGCCAGCATGTTGATAACTGAGAAGGCTGGGGAGCTGGAGGACAATGGAGTGGTTCCTGCAGGAGTCACCAGGGAGGCTTATGCAAGCTATACAGCAGTAAGGGGTTGCTGGAGAAAGCAGGATCCTGACTCCCTGCTACCCATTCACACGCATCCACATGACAGGGGTTTGGTCATGATCCACCGAGCACTGGGTATGACTGAGATGTCCAGAGCAGATGAAGAATGGCCTAGGAACCACTGCAGTATCAGCTGCATAGAGTTATTGTGACCTTTTACAAGAGCTATTTTTTTTTTAAAGAGATCAGTGAGTACAACAGGCTCAGAAGGGCAACACGCTGTTAAGCATGATGCTGTGTATAGCACATGCCACTACTACTTGTGACCAGGTGTGGGAGGACGTCACTGCCGAGAGCCAGGCTGTCCAGCCTTAGAGAAATAAGCTGCTGCTATAATGCAGAGTGAGCAGGAGAGAGAAGAAAGGGAAACCAAACACCACGGAACATCTGTCCAAGTCTGCACAGTGTGTTGTAATAATCTCAAAAATACAAGCCATCTTTTCCATATAACTCAATAAATATCACTTTGCTGTAAAAGATTTATTTTGGAGAGACTTCTTTTGGTGAAAAGCTTCAATGCTAGAATTTAGAGTTCATATTTCATCAATTAATAAAGAAATTTCAAAGCTTCAGGATACATAATTCAGAAATTTATTTTAAGCTTTTCAGTTAAGCGGAAAGTGGGGTGGGCACATTTGTTTCTTGTTTTTGTTGCACCTGCTAAGTCAAATAACAAGTGAAAGTAAACCTAAAGTTAGAAACCAAGGTGAAATGAATGATCCAGGAAGGGATACCATCTGTCAAAGGAAAAAATAAAACTAAAGAAAGAAAAGAGGCAAAGACTTGGAAAGAGACTAAGAAAATGTGCAAATATTAGTTAAAAAAATAAGGAATGCTTTTAATTCATTAATGTTTCCTCTATTTATGAATTGCCATGGTTTAGCTAAGGTCAATGACAAGAAGGGCCCTTGTGTTAAAGAGGGAAAATTCTTTATTCTAGAAGATACTGGAGTCATAGATTTTTCTGTGCTGTTATTCCAGTGTCTACTCCAGACTGCAGAACCATGATCCTCCCTTGCAATTATGCTCCTATTAATAAGGTCTTCACTTCTAGCCTTACAGCACGTGTGTGGCATGGTGCAGGGCCTTGGAGCTCAGGGCTGCACACCTGAAGTTATCCTTTAGCAGGGATCCCCTAGAGTGAATGACAGTTTTGTGGCTGAAACCTACACAAAGAGGAAGAGGAATGAGGCAGGAAGACCTGTACCTAACCAGACCCTCTTTGGACTGCAGAAATCTGATGGCAACATCTCGGGGAGAGTGGCTGCCCACCAAAGAGGACCCTGAGAAACAAAACAGCATAACCTGGGAAATGGGCTACATGGGGGGCAAAGGACATGGTGACAGGGCAAAGTTGAGATGGTGTTTTCCTTGAGTGAATGTCTTTCAAAACTAACAACATACTGTGTAGTTGTCTAACATGCTGATGGAGGAACACTGCTGGGCCCTGAAATCCTAGCTTTGAATCCATTTTTTCCCTTTAGTATTGTGAGTAGAGGGAGAAAGTGACCTTATGTTTTCCCCCATGACACAAGTCACCGTCATTATGGCTTTCATATCAAGTATCTGTTTCCCTTTGTTCCAATCATTTGACCAAATTTATGTTCAGAGGTTAGACTTGCAAACATCAAAGCACCACAAATGTGTGTGACATCTAGTGACACTGGGTTGAAAAATGCCAATATAAATACCATATATCAAATTACCATTGTTTCACACCAGGATAAAAAGAGGGGTGGTGGCAGTGGTGTTGGGGTGGGAAAGAGTTGTTCTGGAAAGAAATGAAGAAAAGAGCAGAACCAATCTCAAGCAGCCAAGTGGTGAAGTTGGATGTATGTGACCCTATGATCTCTCGGGTAGGCGGCCAGAGGGCCGTCCGCTAATACACCTTGGCAAAGAAAATGGGAACCAAGCGCAGTGGCTGGCATATGCAACAGTGCGTTGATGGTAACGGCAGATTGGGAACAACTGGTTTCTGTTGAGCTTGGGGCCACACATGTTCCAATTCTCCAGAAGAAACGTTCCCACGCACAATGGAAGTGTCAAGAGCAGCCGGGGCGGGTCAGTACTCTTCCTGCTGTGGGGGCTGCTGTTCATGGGCTTGCTCCTCTGCTTCCGGCTCTTCTGTGTGGCCCTCCTGTGGGCAAGGGAGAAGTGTCAGCTGAGATAATTGACTGGGAATGGGGCCCTGCAGCGTCCCAGCCCACTGCCACTGCCAGCATGGCGTCTCAAGGCTGTGGAGGGCACCAGGCTTAGTCAGACACAACTCGCCATGCAAATGTCTCCCAGCTTCTGGTGGCCGATACATGTGCAGGGACGCCTTAGCTTCTCCATGTGATCAAAAAACAGATCATTCTAGAAAGCACAGTCATCAGGCTTTTAGGCACCCAACTATTTTGTTTCCAAAGGAAATCTTCATAGAATACATGGCATACTTTCCTAACCTTTGTAAAAGAGTAAACCAAACAGTGACCCTAGAGCATCATGACAACCACGAGTTAAGCTGCTGTAATATAAAAGCAGCACCCCTGGCCTCTGTGGTATGTTGGGGGTGGGGTGTCGCTCCTCACTAATGGATAGGGATGTGGGCTTTTGCTCCATTTCCTAGTCCCTCCCTCGCTGTCATTCTTCCTGCTCCGTAGCGTCTGCCTGAAGGAGACCCTTTGTTGTGTTACTAACCTGATGTAGGCTTAGACACTAGAGCAGCAGTGTTAGAGGCTCCCAGGCTAAGGAAAGGACAGCAGGCACATTTCATGGGTTGCCCCAGGCAAGGAGGCCCCTCCCAACGAGGGAGCTCAGGAGCTTTAGCTCAAGGACTTTGGGATGTCTACTAAGACTGCTTGGGGCCCTTTTGACTTAACTGAGAATCAGATAGGTGAGTTGCTCTTCCCACTGTTTAGAAATAAACAGCCCTATTTATTCCTCTGCCTAACCCAGTGAAGCACGTCATGAACACCAACTCCAGGGAGCGCTGGCCTCAGTCAGCCATATCTGTACATTCATTCATTTTCTGAACTCACACAAAATATTTGCTGTTTTTCACCCAAGCTGACGGAGCATGGCTAATCAGAGGAGCTCCCTGTTCCCTCAGTAAGGGCACACAGCTTCTGTGATGCAGTCTGGAGCATGTGCTGGGACATACAGAAGTGCACACGCCTCCCACACCTGGCATGCTGACTCCTGAGCACTGAACTGCCCAAGCCCTTCCCTGTCTGTCGGGCCCCTCTTCCCTGGAGCTTAGGACAAACCCATCTTTAGCCAATTCAAATATGGCATGATCATCTCTCCAGATCAGCGCTTCTCTCTTCTCCTGCAGCATTTCTTTTCTTCCTCTGCTATGACACTGATTTGGAATCTTGTCTTGACCCTTTTGGCCCTATCCACTGGATGCTGAGGTTACTGAAGTCAGGGATAGGATTCTTGGTGCCACTTCTTTCTTATGTAAGACTCAATCCATGTTGTGTTGAGAGGAACAAATCGCAGTGGATTCAAGAATGAATGACTGAGACTATCGGACTATCAGCCAAGGTCATAAGCCACTTATTTTCTGAGAGCCAGTAAGTAGAATGTTAAGGTTACAACATGGACTCAAGTTCACATCCCAGCTCTGTTATTTACAGGCTGTGTGGGTTTGGGCCTAGAACTTAACTGCTCTGGGCCCAGTTTCCTCATCTGTAAAGTTGGGGATAAGAGTATCCATGTAGGAGCATTTTCAATGCATTTCATTAATCAATGAATCAAAGGACTCCTCGAATCCAATAGAGGAGTTAATGAGTTAAAATAGGTAAAGTGCCTAGAAGAGTGTTTGGCACATGGTAAACAGAAATGTGAGCTGTGGTTATTATTTCTTAGTGGGAAAACTCTGGAATATATTCTAGAAGTGCAAGTAATTTTTTAAAAAAGTAACCGTTTCTGTGACAACCAACAGTAGACAGTGACATTGTGTTGAAAACTTGGGATAAAATCTGGCATTGTCTCTTACTGTGCCGACAGGCCCCTTACTCAGCAAATGTGAGCTCTCCCTACCCCATGGCCACCCTGTGTTCACCACCTAGAACTGCCTCCACCTCTGCAATGTTAGGCCCAACCTCTTGCTCTCTCTGATCACATCATGTGTCTTCCTGACCCTTGCACTCCTGAATTCTTTAATTGCAGGTGCTCTTTGACCTCGGGGAGATCTCAGAGCCCTGATCCCCTCTTTACTCCCCTTCTGCTGGATCGACCCCAGACCGCTAGGCATCACAGCAGCTGTGCTCTTGGCGCTTCCTCTGCACAGTGCTTTGCCCTCTGCCTGGCACATGTGAGGCGGGTCCTCTCAGCTCAGAGTCAGTGCCTCACTGACAGCGTGGCCGTACACGCTCAGGGGAGCAGGAGAGAACTTCTTCCTGGACCAGCGCAGGACAAGAGACAGTGACTGGCCTTCCTAAGCCAGTGCTCTCCTCTCATCCAGGGGAGAAGAATGAAACTAACATTCACGGGAGTTTGACAGGAATGGTGGGCTGGGAACTCCCAGCTGTCTGTCCTGCCACATACTCCTCTACATTACGAGAAAGTCACTCCTCCCTGAAGCCTCTCTCGCTGCCTGCACCCCTGAGTTAATGGCTTCCCTCCCCAAGCTTCCTATCCTCGGTTTCTGCTTCGGTGGGAGGGCGCACCACAGTCCTGCGTGTTCCTGCTGGGTGGCTGGTTACACATCCGTCTCTCCAGCCAGGCTCTGAGCCCCCCGCGGTGAGGTATGCTGTTTTATCCGGCATCCTAACTCTTGAGTGTGAGTGTGGTGTCTTCCATATTGTATTGCTCAAACTTCAGTTGGTCTCAAGTATGCTTTTCTTTATATAATTGTTTCTGTGCATGTTAGACGGCTGAAAAGATTTCAGAAATGAGGATCTGTTTTACATTTTGCAGAAATTCTCGTTTGCTCATGTCACAACCAGGAGTTTATTGTGGGCTAATGGAGTTAAAGTTGAAAGACCTAGATTCAAGTAATCATTGAGCCTGTAACAAACTAGAGGGCCAGGAAGCCACTAGGCTAGGCCTCCTTTCCAAACACATCTAACAAGATGGCAGTTTTGCTGGCCTTGTCTATGGCTCTGAGGCTTCCAGATGCCCAGGGCAGCTGCTCCTCATGCAAACCCAGCTTAAGTCTCAGTCACAGGACCCCTCTGTGATGTCATGCATCTGCAGGAACTGTGGACCCCAGACAGCTCTCACTGGGAAATACCAGCAAAGCTCCCAATTTATCAATGGATTGCTCATGCTTGGCGTGCAAGTTAAGGCAGTCTGAGAGTCTGGCAGAACACATCTGTAATTCTGAGGTGTTACAAATCACAGCTGAGAGCTCACAGCCCACACAATGCTACTGCAGGCTCACGGGAAAAAACAATCTTTTTCTATGCCTCATACAAGAATGAAGAACTTAAACCCATGTCTAAGTAGGAGGCCAGGCAAAACCTATACCAAATATAAGACTAATGCACCAGAGCATCACTTAATAATTCTACTATGTGCGCATCGATCTATTCACATCTTTCCGTTTAGCTGTGAGTGACTGTAAGAAGACTATCATTCTTTAGTTTCCTTATAATCATTAGATAGAGAGGCAAACTGGAAGACGGCATTGAAGAAGGCTCTTGGCCACTGTGGGAGGAAAATGGGGGCGAAGGAGAGAGGAAGGCCCATCAGGAAGCTCCAATGGCTCCTGGCTTCCTAGCTGTGGGAGGCACCACCCTGCAGCCGTCTCCTGCCACCATGCCAGCTGTGGCTGCTGGGCTGTCTTCTCTGCTTTGCTCATGCAGTTTCTCCCTACCTTAGCTCTATAGCTGTTGATGTTCCCAGTCGCCCTGTAACATCCAACACAAATGCCAACTTTGCTGTGAAGTCTGTGTGGTCCTCCAGGCAGCTTTTATCTGCTCCCCACGCAAGTTTATTTATGTCTCCATGATCACGTTTGTCATCATCTGACACATATTCCAGTTAGTCATGTCCCTGTCTGTCACCCTTACTGGGACTGGGAGCTCCTCTGAGGTGGGGTTGGGTCTTTTCCATAGCCAACACTTAGCCCAGTGACAAGAGGACCTCCAGTGACAAAAGCACAGCCTGTCCCTGCAGGAAACAAGTCACTGTTCATAAGCTGGTGCCCTTCAGCTGACAGAATCCACAGGGAGCAGGTAGCCAATGCCTCAGCCCAGACTCCTGTGGCTCCAAGCTAAGTATCAGGGGAAAACATAATGAGAATAAGTATCTGCTCTGGAAACTTCCATTAGGTTTCTACAACTGGGAATTCAACCACCTCTGTTATTTTCTACTCAAAACTCCCACCTGGATTTTTACATCTTCCACACATCATATTCCGGGATGGCTTAAATATAAGAATCAGAGGCCAATCATCACTAAATAAAAGTGTTAAGTAATCACTCAGGGGAATAGATCTCCCCAGCAAATCCTCCTACCTCAGATGTCAAAGCAAAGCATGTCCATCTATGTTCAGCTGAACAGCACGTGCTACAACCTGGCCTTCTATCTGCAGGAGGGCTCTGGGAAAGGCAGACAACCAGGCATCTGTGCCATCTCAGTTCTGTACACACAGCTGTACCAACAGCATCATGAACAAAGTGCTGGCACTTCCTGCCAGACGCCAGGCCCATCATCCATGCACATCATCCCTGCACGTGGGTGCAAATCTATCCATCACCCAAGTGTGGGGCTGGCCAGAAAACAGGACACAATGTCAGGGGAAAGCACAGTGAGGCAAAAGCAGGATTCCCAGAGATGGGGGCAGTGCTGTATGGTGGCATCATAACCACTAAGCACATTCTTTTCAAACCTGATGCTTTTACAGACCATAGACATAGGGGAAGGTAGGCGAGGGTACAGCTTTAGGAAGGCACACTCCCCCAGAGTAGGACTGGCTATATGCTTCTGGGTGGTTCCAGAGAAACCAGATTCCATATTCTCAGGGAGAAATGAAAATGCTTGGAGGCTTTAAGATATCTCGGATGATTTCTTGGACCTACGGGAGGTGGAGTGCTGGGGGGCAGAAAGGAGAGTATCTAGCTGCTCCTGAGCCTCTTGGCAGAGTCATGCATGCACAGGATATGGAAAGCACCCAGCACGGCGTCCAGGCCCACTGCAGTCTTCCTTTTCTTTCTGCATAAAAACCAAGGTTTAAAAAAATGGGTCTTGTCATATTCCAGACAAGGACACCTGGCATATTCCAGATCAAACGGCTTCCTCTCTGTAGAAAACTCAGTATAGCCTGATGTGTCTCTTTTGGAGTTTTACAGACACAAAGTTGCAATAGAAATATCCTGGAACTAGAAAAATTAAGCCAGCAACTGCATTTGAACATCTTGCTCTGGTAACCCACACATGCAATTTATGTTAAGGCTGTTTTCTCTGCCAGATTCAACTGCCTGGTTACTCTGAGTAATTCTCTTCTTGAATTTTGGGTACTCCCCAGCATATACTTACAGGGCAATGCCTCTGTCTCTTTCCCTCTCTCTTCCCTCCCTTAAATCTATTTGATGATGTCAGTGCAGTGCCAGTGGGTTTAAAAAAGTTACAAACTGGCTAGAAGAAAACTGAAGTTCTTCATGGATGCTGATTTAAAATCAGATGAATGCCCAGAAAAAGAGGCCACAACTAGGCTTTTGAAAGTGCAAATCAGTAAAACGAGATAAGGGGAGTTATTTAGAGAAAACCCAGGTAAAAATTTGGAAACTTTCTGTGTGTTCAACTGAAGACTGTCAAGTAGACAGCCAATGTTGAGGCTTTCCCCAATTGGTACTATGTTCACTTCCTCCCTGCTCCATGGTAACCAATACTCGGCGAGGGAGGTAACATAGTCCTTATGATTTTAGCCTCTGAGTTAGATAAATCGGGGTTCAAATCCTAGTGCTGGAGCTTATTAACCATGAGCCATTGGGTAAGTAATTTCAACTATAAAATGTAGATAAGTAACTACTCACCTCACAGGGATGTGGTTAAGATCAGAAATCTACGTAGGACATGAATACAATCCCTAGCACATACTAAATGCTTAATCGGTATTAGCCATTACTACTGTCATAATACCATTTAAAAGGTGGCTCAGACTTGGAGAAGGGAGAACATAAACTCAGGATTCAGATTTCAGGGTTCAAATGGAAATTATTCTGGAATAGAATTATTTTGGAATAATGGAATAGACTTGGGAAAATTATTCAACCTCTCTGCTGCCTTAGTTTCCCTCATCTGTACAATGGGATGACAACAATAGCTAACAATCCTAACAGGATTCTCTAGAGAATTACAGGAGCTAATAAGCTAATACACATCAAGCCCTAGGCCCTTCTACCTCAAACCCCAACCCAGGTGCCTCAGAAGAAGAAGTGTCTGCTAAACTTATTATTCAGTCTTAATGAATGATGAGGCCTTACAGTGTTATTTCTTTTTTTTTTTTTTTTTTTTGGGGGGGGGTGGGGACAGAGTCTGGCTCTGTCACCCAGGCTGTAGTGCAGTGGCGCGATCTCAGCTCACTGCAAGCTACGCCTCCCGGGTTCATGCCATTCTCCCGCCTCGGCCTCCCGAGTAGCTGGGACTATAGGCGCCCGCTACCGTGCCTGGCTAATTTTTTGTATTTTTAGTAGAGATGGGGTTTCACCGTGGTCTCGATCTCCTGACCTCATGATCCGCCCGCTTCGGCCTCCCAAAGTGCTGGGATTACAGGTGTGAGCCACCGCGCCTGGCCTAAAGTGTTATTTCTTCTTGGGATGCCTGCATTTTAGTTGCACTTACATTGCAGGAATTGCTCTCTCAATCCAGATGGTGGCAAGGTGGTGCTGGGATGTGTGTGTGGGGGGGTCGGGTGGTGACGGGTATGGCGGAACAGAAACTGAGTATGGTCATCTAGGTAGACCCCCTGGAAATCACACCCAGGAGGCAAGAGCTCTTGCCTGAGGCTGTCCACCTATCCTTAGCCGGGAATTCAGTGGACCTCTCCAACACTTCATTTGGAGCTCACTGTCAGGCAGTGCTCCTGCACATGGACTCCCTCTTGGGACAAAATCTGGCATGAGGTTAGACTCAGGGTTTCCCTCGTTTGAAGTGCAGGGCTGGGAAGAAGATTCGATCCTGCATGCTGGCCTTATTCCCACTAGCAGGCATTACTGCAGACAGCAGCGCCATTCGCTCAGCCTCACGGTGCTGTGGAGACTTCAGCTGATTTAGCCTCAAACAAGCTTGTGAAGAGAATAACCATAGTCCATCTAGTGCTTACAGAGGGCAAGCACTCTGTACACACAGGACATCATATATGTGACGCTGTGGCAGCTGCAGACACACTACAAATCAGTCTCTGGTTTCTTCCATCAGATCTGAAAATACTGAGAACCGTATTTTATGAAGCCATCATGGAAACCAGGTGGATTCTCGGGGCTTCAAATTCTGAGCTATTGATAACCAAGAAATAATTTAAACCAAAATATTTGGAAGAAATGAAAAAAAAAAAGTGGTAGAGAGCTTCCAAACCACAGATATAGTGCGCCTTATAGTTTAGGAGAATTTCAGTGCTAGTATTTTGAGGCATAAATGGAGTAAACATTTGCCTGGGATTCAGCTGGAATAAGAAAGCAAACGTGCTGATGGCTTGCTACGTCCTATAGAGATCTCAACACATACAATTCCACGGGGGGCCCTCAGAACATCACAGGCCTCCAGCCCAGAGACTGGGACGCTTCCACTAGCATCAGCCTGACATGAAAGAAGCTGGACACCCCAACCCCTCAACTTGGCTCAGTGGAAGGTGAAGCCACATCAGGCTCCCACGCCCGCCTCTGGCTGCTGGGCCTCTCTCTCCTGCCCCTGGCAGACCCGGGGTGCCTTGCCTCAGTCTCTGCCATGCATCCTGCCCCCTTCCTCTCCTTGCTTCCTAGATTCTTATTCCTCCCCCGTTTCTCACATCTGCTTTTCATCACCCTGACACAGCCACATCCTGGGTCTCCATCAGCACTTGTGAACAGCAACTCTTGTGGCAGGTCCTCCCCAAAAAGGAGGTGTGCATGTGGCTGTCCCACAGCTCTGGTCTGTCCTGGCAATGAGTAACCAAGACAACTAGCTACGAAGTAAAAACAGTCAGTTATGGGCCTTCTGGGGATGGGAAAAGCATCTAGATTATTTTCTCCTTTAACTACACTCCGAATTTGCAGGAAGGAGGAGGAATCCATATACAAATTCTTAATGCTCATTTGCTCAGAGAACTGCATAAGCATATTTTTCTGCCAAAGCCTTCCCCACCCCACCCATCTCTTCCCAGATTAATGTATGACTGCCTGTCCCATAAGCATGGGTCAATGGATCATGATGATAATGAGGTTTATTCCTTTGGGACTATCAAACGCACTCAGCTGAGTGGTAATTCTCACTGAGGTCCTGAGGACGTGTTCTAAGGCGTGCTGATCTACTGTGCTTTGACCAAGAGAGTCATTTTAGAACACAGGAGTCACGTGCTCCTCACACTCACGTGTTCTTCTGAAGCATACAGGACGTCCATTAGTCGCTGCACGAGGTCATCATTTTCCTGCCCGTGTTCTTGGCAGAGTAGCTCGATCTCTCTCAACTTCCCAAAGTAGAAATCCCTTTCCTTTTCCACACCTTCAAGGGCAAGTTTTAATGAATGTACCTGCAATGGAGTGAGAGTGAAGAAAAAAAACCACCCAAAATATAGTAAAAGAAGTGACCAGCAATTCCTGTAAATAAAATCCAAAACAGAGAGAGGGGGAGAGACAGAGAGAGAGGCAGAAATAACCGATGTGTAAGTCTGAGGGAAAAACAACAGGACTGTTGTCTGGAGCTTGACCCTGGGCCAAAACGTCCAATTCTCCACCGTACTCTGATCATTCCCTTCAGGCAAATGGCGTTTATTAACCAGGGACAGAGTGGGCCTTCTGCCTGTGCGGTTCCACGCAGGCTGGGAGTGAGCTTTCATCTGCTGCTAACATAGGCGGGAACACCTCTTTCCTCTAACTTGTTACTGTGGCCTGAAAGTTTGTATCTCCTCAAAATGTGTATGTTGAAATCCTAACACCCAAGGTGATGATGTCAGGAGGTGGGGCCTTTGGGAGGTGGCTGTCATGGGGGTAGAGCCCTGATGAATAGGATGAGTGTCCCAATAAGAGGCCCAAGTGAGCTCATTCATCCTTTCAGCATGTGAAGACAACGAGAAGGTGCCATCTATGAAGAATGGGGCCTCAAGCAGACGCTGAATCTGCTGGCGCCTTGATCTTGGACATCCCAGTCTCCAGAATTGTGATAAGTAAATGTCTGTTGTTTGTAAGCCACCCTGTGTACACTACTCTGCTCTAGCAGCCTGAACAGACTGAAATACTTGCTCATCTTCTGCAGGAAATGGAGAATGGGAGGACGAAAGAGCAGCAGCAGAGACAGGCTGTAAGCACGGCTATTTAGATTTATGTTGAGGACTCTCCCTCCCTTAGATCACTTGCATGGAAGCCGCCCTTCGCTGTAGACCCTTTCACAAATGATACTGAGCCACATTAGACAAACGCTCTCCAGGGAGAAAGTGGGGCTTCGCGACACGAGGAAAACTGGGTGAGACCGAAAGCCTGGCTGAGTGGATCTGTCTCAGTTTCTCTAGTTCGGGCTTTGGGTAGGTCACTGGGAAGGCAGGAGGGCAAGGAAGGCCTGTTCCCTCACCACAGTAACCCTCATTCCTTCTTTCTTCCTCTCGATCCTGGTTCACAGAGTTTCCAGGGATGTGCAGCTTCTCAGGGTGGCTACAGAACAGTCCAAGTGAAGGGAGGAGGCAGTGGTCAAAAGAGGGTCCAAGAACTCGGACACCCAGAGCTAAAGAAACCCTGATGGGGTTGTGACTAGATCTGGCTTCAAATCTCGGTCTACCAGGCACAGCAGCTACACTCAGGCCCAAACTATTACCCCGTTCCTGGTCTCTGAGGATCTCCATTTGCTTAAACCCTTTGTTTATTTTTATGTAGGGTATATGCTTCAGGTGGTAAATTAAATCTTTCATGGCCCTCCTTAGGTAAAATCTCTCTGTCATTATCTTAAAAATCGCCCCTAATAGAATTTCAAAAAATTACATTTGGAATGCAAAATGTCCTACTCTCTCCTTCTAATAATTCTGGGCCTTTGTGTATGCTTTATCCATCTGGAATTACTGATTCATTCAAACACACACAGACCATGCAGCGTCCATCCTCTTCCTGTGCACCTGGCAAACCATATCCATCCTGTAGATTCAGCGTTACCCTCACTGACGCCCCCAGGTGGCTGCTTGCAAAGCAGTGGAGAACCAGTTTGCTTTTAACTCATTTCTATTAATATTATAGCTTGCACATTTGTAAGATGTAAAAAAAAAAAAAAAAAAAAAAGTGAAGGTGACCAGCTTAAATTCCAGAAAAAAGAAAACTCTTATTCTAGAAATCCTTTCCTGCTTTAAAACAAACCAACCTCTCCCCAGGTTTGGACACAAAATCCATCTCAATCCTGTGCTAGTGCCAGCAGATGATCTGTGGCAGCTTAGGTGTGTCACCACCCCTCAGCCCCCTGTCCCAGGCAAGGACACATCCCACCCACGAAAACTAGGTCTGTCTGGCCCCCTAGGGCTTTGTTCTGCACACTGAACAAATAGCTGAGGCTTTTCCAGACAAACCTTTAGTGTAAATCAGGCTTCAGTGATATTCCACATGCATTAGGTAACAGCTGCCACTACCAACATTCCCTAGTAAAAACCAACACTAGCTAACCTATATGATGAAAATCAATTGGCAAGCAAAACTCCACTGTCATAGTCCCACTCACAAAGACCAATGCCAGCCTCGTCCCTCTTGTGTTGTGGCAGATGCTTAAGCGATGAAGGAGATGCTGGAGATGGATCTTACAAAAGGAGAAGCAGCTCTCTTCTTATGATTCTTCCAACTCCTCCCAGTGTGGCCACAGACTGCAGGTTCCTGCAGGCCGTGCTGTTTCAGTGATGGCTATAGTCTCTGCCTGGGCTAACCGACACCCATCCCCGGCCTCACCTGCGCTCCCTGAGCAATGACCAACCTACTTCCAGTTGGCTAATCCACTGACTCCAACCCACTTCTGGTTGGCTAACCCACTATCCAGAACAAGTCCCTAATTATTTTGTTTATGACTTTTCCTACTGTATGTCTTTTGATTCATTTCTCTCATGGGACTGGTCTAGCATAGTATTACTTCCTTAGTGCATCATGGGAAATTGCCTGAGAAAATGCAAGAAGCCAAGCAAATGAGAATCCTCCAAGTTTATGGCACTTGTCCCTTTCTCAGTGAAGACTGTGCTTCACCCTTCAGCATCAGGGTCTCCCCTCAGCCTCTCCTCACCTGAGTGTTCTTTGTTCCAACACCATGATGCCTGTGGGGGGCCCCTCCCAGACTCGGGGGGCATCCTGTTGGCTCCAAGACAGAAAAAGGAGGGAACGGCAACAGTTAACCATGGATATAAATTTGGAGTAAGTGCTCAGTAATATTGATTGAAGGACTCACAGTGTAGGGTGTGTCTTCCTTCTGAGGGACAGACAGGCGGAGGCACACTCCTTGGTGTGAAGGTGTCAGGGGGCAGAAATGGGGAGTGAGGCCTTTTGGAAGTAATGAAGGGATTATAACAGGAAGGTGGCACTGGACCATTCCTCTCTCACTCGGTTCTCTGAGTTGCATTGTGGATGGCAGTATGGTCTAGTGGAGGCATTTTAGAGGTCTGGGTTCCCTGGGGATGGGCTGTGTGTGATCTGGAGAGCTAACGGGAGCCTAGAGCCAGCCCCAAGGAGAGGAAGTGGGGCTGGCTGGGTTAGGCTGTAAGGGGGAGAGAACCTCAAGGTTTCCACGTGGTCATACTTTGGGCTGGAGAGGTGGGACACTGGGTGTGGTAGATGGGAAGAGAGGGAGGAGTCATGAAGAAACACAAGATAAGAAAGATACCAAAAGAATTTGGGTTCCTTAAGGAAAAAGAGTTCTACAGTTGTGCCTTGGTATCTGAGAGGAATTGATTCCAGATTGTCCCTCAGATACAAAAACCCATGGATACTGAAGTCCCTGATATACAACAATATAATGGGATATCATATTTGCATATAACCTATGCATATACTCCTGTATACTTTAAATTATCTCTACATTACTTATAATACCTAATACTATGTAAGTAGTTATGTTGTATTGCTTTTAATTTGTATTAGTTTTTATGTTTGTATCGCTATTTTTTATTTTGAATATTTGCAATACTTGGTTGCTTGAACCTGTAGATGTGGTAACCCATGGATATGGGAGGACCAACTTTAGGTCCAAGGCATTACAGAGATTTAGGTCCAAGGCATTACAGCCTTTAGGTCTACTCTGATTTTCTTGGAGCCTGAGACATGTGGCCCAAGGCTCTTTATGACTGTCCTTACTGCCTTTTAATTGAGAAGAAATCATTATTGGAAACAGGACTCAAACTGAGAATCAGCAGGTAATTAGAACATTCCAGTTTCCAAATCCAAGTCCTACCTGCTGGATGGCTTAAGTTTTTACACCTTTTTCCATAAAGTGATCAGAATTGTAAAGAAACACCCTAGCTAAGAAACTGCCTTCATTAAACTAGATTCTTGATTATAAATATACAATTATCACAAAAGCTGTTTCTAAACTCTTGCTGGCTCATCAAGAATAAGATTAATCACCACGACTGGCCCAGTGAGTGGCTGGGAACAGCCTGGGGCCCTGGAGTAAAGGCTCCTCTCATAGCGGCAGGGTAGCCAGGATAAAAGGCTCTCCTGTGTGGGCCCTCCACTACCCGTTGCTTTTATTACTTTTAAGCTACATATAATCTTAGGAAAGATGAGAAGTACCTAAGATTTTATAATGAAAATTTCAAAGACAGTGGAGCTAGCTAGATTTTACCATAACTGTGAGGAATGCTAAATTAAAAGGAAAGCTCTTCTACTTAAAACACAATTGTGGCCTTTCAGATCCCCCAAATATTGGGTTTGGTGCTCCTGCAGCACCCAACTTCTGCCATTGTGGGAAGTAATCAGGTTTTTTGTTTAGCTCATGTAATAACCTACTGTGTGCAATTGCTATCTACAAGTTCTATGATGGAAGGAAAGGTATCTATTTTACTACCATTATTCTACCAGCATTAAGTGTAATATCTTTCATATAGAATGAGCTCAACTACTAATAGCTGAAGAAAGGAAGGAAGGAGGGAAAGAAGAAAAGGGGAGGGAGACAGACTAACCCTGACTCAGCCTTTAAAAAGAGAGGGAGGGAGACAGACTCACCCTAATGCAATGCAGCACTATCTAGAATGGTCAGAGGTGGGCAGGATGGACTATGGTCTAGCCGGAGCTCATGACAGCCCTGAGGGACAGGGGAGGGGAAGGTGACCTGAAGTCTGCAGCAAGGCTAAGCCATCTGCCCCATCTTAATGTACAACTTTGAGATTTGTGACTAACACTTTTTATTCATCATGGGCTACTGATTTTGTCTTCCCGAACAATTCTTTATATTCTTACTTACTTGAAACCAAGGATTCCTCCTTACCTTCCCTCCCTTACCCCAGTCCTAGGGGATCCTAGGCCCCCTACCTCTTACATACGTCACTGCTCCTAGAGCTGTGGCCAGAGCTGATGCATTACCTGTTCATTAAGCTGTATGACCTGCGTTTCTAAATCTTTATCAGATCTGGATGCTGAGCCGCTGGAAGAAGCCCTTTTGGCTGATGAGGGTCGAGAAGGTGTGGATCCTGGTTTCGCTGCTGGACTTGATTTAGCTGCACCTGAAAGCAATCAGAATAAATGATAAATACTGGTAATATTAAAAATGTGTTTTAGATATATAGAAAATGAATGATATAAAAGAAGCTTACTATAACACAGATACCTCCAGTGATCCCTTCCCATACAGAAGGAGTACAAATATTTCAGCAGGAGTGTACACAGTTAAAAGTATGGTTGTTTTGGGCAATTTATCTCACCTTTGTGAGTGCTGTTTTTTTTCCTCAAGTAACATGAGGTTAATGCCATTGTCCCTTCTCCCTCTGGAGATGTAAGAGTAACAGAACAAATTTTAAGATTTTTAAGAGGAAAGGTTTTTAGATAAGCTTAAAAATATCACCCTAATTGAATTTCTAACAAACAAAAGATCTTATAACCGATTAATACTTCAGAAGAAATATCAATACAAATGTATTTTTTTCTCTTTTAAAACATTTCCTAGCTTTAGCCACTAAAATGCCTAAGAGCAATGACATCTCCATAGCAGCGGGCACTCCTGATGCCCAAACCTTGGTTTCTAAAGGTTATTCTGCAATAAAAGGGCTTCTGGAGAAATGGCTGATTCTAGGGATGGGGCAGGGAATGTTCAGGGTAAGCTGAGGATATCTTGTGTCAAAAAACAAGGAGGTGCTCCAGGATTAATATCAAGAGCTCAAAGGGGCTCCCCACTAGTCACACTTGGGACAGTCTGAATATTAGGAAGAACAATAGCTTCATTTATTGTAATGCACTGGGTAAATAAAATCTATTAATCTACAATGACTGAAGGAGAGATGGGCTGGAAGAAAGGGAGAGGGAGAGGGAGGGGGAAGAGAAGAATATAAAGATCTTTTCAATCCTTTTTAAGGAACACTGGCAGTCAGTAAATGTACAAGAAATGCTGGAACTAGAAAATAAATCACAATTTTGTGACATCCGTAACTAATAGGCGATTCAGAAAGGGCTCATCATTGGACATGTAAACTTTAGGTGAGAGGGTTTTGGGGAACAAGATATTTACATGTGTTACTCTAAAGGGGAAAATACACCCTTACAATGAGGAGATCTGAGGGTCAGCACCTTAAGCAAGTGATTCATTTAGCATCACTAATAATGTTATGAAGTGGAAAAATGAAAAACCACTGGTTTCAGGTAAGACCTCACCTATCTGGAGCTCAGCTCACAGTAGACTCTCACTACCTAGAACAACGCACAGACACAAGAATGGCCTCTGCGGCCAAAATAGAAGTCCCAATGTATACGCAATGTACTTCATGGATTATGAAATTCCAAGCCACTACTGGGGGCCTGCCCATTCCCTTTTCCTCTGAACACAGTCCCCGTGAAGTGGCATCTCTGTTTTTCACCATCCCTTCAGTCTGGTGTAGGTGCTCCTTCTCTGTGCTCCCACTGGCCTAATACCCCAACCCCTGCTCTTGTTTAGAGCAAGAAACACATCTTATTCATCTTTGTAACCCCAGTGCGTAGCACAATGCTCAACTGAACATGTATTTGGTTAAAGAGCAAAAGTTTAACTATATAAACAAGCAAATAAAACTTTTAGTGATATGGTTTCCAATTTTACAGTTTATTTCCAACTTCACAGTTTATTAGTATCAACAGATTAGCAAGAGCCGAAGGGTTATAAAGACAGCAGTTACAAGTTTCAACCAACATCCTAATTACAAAGTAGAAAACAGGAAGACCATAAAACTTATATTTGTGTCTTCAGGTGCCTGGGGTCATTAGCTCCGGATGCAAGTCACACCCTCTAGAAACACTGACAGCATGACAGCCTTTAAAATACAGGCCTTTCTGTTAAAAAAAATTTTTTTTAAATAAACTTCTTTAAAAACACAGGGAGGTGCCTAATATACTTTAAAATGAGAATGGTTAAATTGGGAAAGACTTAAAATAGTTTGAATTTCTCAGGATAAATCTGCAGATCCCGGGAAACCTCACCTGTGCAGAAGAGCTTCCCAAGGATTCTAGAGGGCTGACGTTTTGCTTTATTTGTGCCTGGTATATGGCCGTGAGGAACCTTCTTCATCTCTGTTGAAGCCCATATAAAACACTCCTGGAACACTACCTTCCATGTCCTGCTGACCAAGTTCTTTAACCCAAAGGCAAACCAACTGGGTAAAGAAAACAATGTAGACGAGCAGGTAGGGGAGGCAGGGTGAGGACACCTGATCTGGCAAAGAGCCTTCTCTGAGGCAGCCACCAGCCTAACAGGTGGGGAGAGAGCTCGGAAATATCAAGTTCGTTCAGATCTTTTTATAAGCAATACCTCATATTTTAATATAAAGGAAGTCTAACAGAAAGCAGTGCGAAGACTGCCTATGATCAACACCCCTTACACACACTTATTACACTTAGTAAGTGCCTGCCATGGGCCATGCACTGGAGGCCCCTAAAAATGCCTAAGATGCAGTCTTTGTTCTCCAGCTGAGTTCTCACATGAGCAACAGCTATCTAAGAATTCCCGGTGTGGCACCTTCAATGTTCTCAGGAATAAGCCAAGGTTCTACGACTCCATGACCATCCCATGTGATATGGTTTGGCTGTGTCTCCACCCAAATCTCATCTTGAATTGTAGTGTTCCCATAATCCCCACATGTTGTGGGAGGGAGCCTGTGGCAGGTAATTGAAGCGTGAGGGGCAGTTACCTCCATGTTGTTCTCGTGATAGTGAGTGAGTTCTCACGAGATCTGATGGTTTTATAAGGTGCTTGTTCCCTCTTTGCTTGGCACTTCCTCCTTCCTGCTGCCGTGTGAAGAGGGACATGTTTGCTTCTCCTTCAGCCATGATTTTAAGTTTTCTGAGGCCTCCCCAGCCCTGAGAAACTGTGAGTCAATTAAACCTCTTTTCTTTATAAATTATCCCGTCTTGGGCAGTTCTTTATGGCACTGTAAGAACTAATACACCATGCAATTCAGGCTGTATTCCCTCTGCCTCCTTCCTGTCCCCTACCTCCTCTGAGCAAGCAGGTCTACCACCCTTCCAGTCTCAGCTCAGATGTCACTTTGTCTGGAAGGCCAAAGTGCCCTGAACACTTTCCACTGTTGTGGTACAGCTATTTCTTTAATGCCTACTTCTCCCACGAGCGGAAACGCCAGGACATAGGAGTTTTATCTGTTTTAGCCACCTTATGCTCTAACCACCAATCACAGTGCCTAACCCAGAGACATTCAATAATAGTTTTTATAATTCATTCTATAAGACCTAGCAGAGGCATCTCTTCAGGGTAAGGACACTGGGGGAAGCTTGAGGAGCTGATGCCAATGTCAAACTCACAGACACAAAGAACCAGCAAGACAAGAAGGAAACCAAATAAAAACCATCAGCCTCCCAGAAAGAGAGCTCCTCCTTGGTTTCCTCTCAAGATTACCTTCTGTAAATTACTTAGGCTCCTTACCTACACAGAATCAGGAGAGGTGGAGTAAACTCAGTCAGTCAGTATATGCTTAATTCTGAGTGCTCTGTGCTGGCCTGTCCAAGCCTGTGTCATGCTCACTGGCCCTTCCTGAGGGACACAACCTTGCAGAGGGGGCTCCCCTAGATAGCATGTGATGACCCACCTACCCTGGCAGTCTTTCATAGGCAGGTCAGGAACAACAAAGTGGTTGCAATAACTGAGCTAGGATCATCAGACACACTCATGTTCTGGTATCTGGCCTTATCCAGTCTGATGTCAATTTAAAAAGAAAAAAGTGATGGAAGAAACCGAAGCTGACTGCTTATGATACAGGGCTACCACTAATTATATTCTCAGGATATCATCAAATAGAGCTTGAAAAAAAAAAAAATGAAATGTTTGATAAGATGTAGAAGGGGTTGTGGCAAGCCAAACCCCAGGGCAAAGCCACATGATCAGGGAAGAGCAACTATGAAGAAGCAGAGGACACTGGCCAGGAGCGCAGTGAGGAGACACGCAGGGAGAATCCCCGACTGCGGGAGGCGCTCAGCACAGCTCATGGCAGGGAGGGAGGGTGCAGCTGCTGCAGTTACTGATGCTCTCCCCATTCTAGCCACACACAGTCACTTGGGGAAACAGGTTTTGCTTTGTTTTGTTTTCTTCCCTTGAGGAACTATCCCTTGCTGTTAACAGAGCCCAACTTCAACCTGCCTGTGTGGCTTGGACTCGCCAAGATGTGCTTCAGCCCTAAAATGGCATCTGTGTTCACAAATCAGGCAAAGGTCAGGTGGTGGCCTAGGGCCCCAGGGCTCTCCCACTGGCACACAGCATGTGCACCTCCTGGATCCCTTTGAGATGAGAGAGGTGCAGGCGATGAAAATCAGGCTTGGCAACCTCTGCTGCTCCACCACCTACACACACGTGGGAAGGAAGAACCGCTTCTACCCCACCCTTAAGCCTTGCTAACGGGGACACAGTGCAGGCTGAGTGAAGGAAGAAATGGAAAAAATTCTAAACATTTAAAAATCGATCACTTAAGTAATTAGTATTTGATATTTAAAATGAGAGGGATCTTGAAATTCTACTGTTTGGAAAAAAACTGATAACAGAGGAAAATAAACGATGCATGAGGATATGTGAAATCAGGCCTACTTAACTACATTTTTACCTTCAGATGAATAAATGTGAAGAAATTAAAGAACGGGAAAGGCATGGGAAAGAGTTTAGTTATCTTCCGAGGTTTGGGTAAACAACAACAACAACAAAAACCCCATAATTAACAGTTAAACTAAAAGCTCGTTTTCAAATAAATGTAAAGTGGGCTCATTAAATCATCACAAGCTGCAATTTGAAATGGAAGTAATTTACCCCTCGCAGCTGTCACATGATTAAGAAATACTAAATGTATAAAAATAAAAATGAAACCTTTTGTCCTCATTATATTCAATGATTTCATGTTTTCCTTTTCAGAATAAATAATGGACAATATCCTAACATATAGCACAACTCTTTAGAGTTAAGAACTTGTTTTTGTTTATTTGCTGTCTAGGTCTCGCTGTCTTCTAACAACCACACTCTAAAGTTTCTGGGGCTGCCAGATACTCC